TGTGACCTGGCTGAAGTCGGACGCTTAACCGACTGCGCCACCCAGGCGCCCCAATTCTGCTTTTTTAAAAAAAATTCTTTAATGTTTATTTTTGAGAGAGGGGAGACAGAGTGAGAGCAGGGGAGGGGCAGAGAGAGAGGGAGACACAGAACCCGAAGCGGGCTCCAGGCTCTGAGCGGTCAGCACAGAGCCCGACATGGCGCTCGAACTCAGGGACTGCGAGATCATGACCTGAGCGGAAGTCAGAGGCTTAACTTACTGAGCACCCAGGCGCCCCTAAAATTCTGCTTTTTTTTATACCAAATCACAATAACTAAAAAGCTTTAAGATTTGGGGTTCTGTCTTTAGTTTTGTATCAACCTACATGAAGGACCAAGCCTTGGTGAGAAGCAATACTACCCAGCGGTGAAGAATGCGAACTTCCAGTCAAATGCCTGCATCCAAATCCCAGTCCTCCTACTTCGTGCCTTGTGAGCACTGGCCAAGTTGCTACACCCATTTGTGTCTCAATCTCCTTCTCTGTCAAATGGGGATGATAATAATAGCACCTACCTCATAGGGTTGTCATGAGTATTAGGTGATGTTAACACCATCACAGAGCTTAGCACACCGTTCAACCCATAGTAAGTTCTCAGCGAATGTCAGCTGTCTTCACAGCAGGAATTAAACACTGAAGTTTTTTTTTAAGTTTATATATTTATTTTGAGAGAGAGAGGGAGAGTGCACGTGAATGGGGGAGGGGCAGAGAGAGAGAGAGAATCCCAAGCAGGCTCTACACTGTCAGTACAGAGCATGGCATGGCCCTTGGACCTACCAACCTCGAGATCATGACCCGAGCTGAGATCGAGAGTGAGACGCTCACCTGACCGAGCCGCCCAGGAGCCCCAACATTGAGGATTTTTATTAGGACGTGCGTTAGTTTCCAGGAGCTGCCATTGCAAAGTGCCACCAATTGGGTGGTTTAAAACCACATAAGTTGCTTCTCTTGCAGTTTTGGGGTGGAAGTCGAAAATGAAGGTGTTATCAGGGCTACGCTTCCTCTGAAGGCTCTAGGGGAGGGTCCCTCCTGCCTCTTCTGGCCTCTGGTGGCCCAGGCGTCCCCTGGCTTGTGGCTGCACCGCTTGAACCTCTGCCTGCATCTTCACGTGGCCTTCTCCCTTGTGACTGTGTGTCTGTATGCGTCCTGGCCTCTTCTTCTAAGGTCGCTCTCACTGGATTTAGGATCCACCCTAACCCAGTATAACCTTGCCTTAATCACATCTGCAAAGACCGTATTTCCAAACAAGGTCACGTTCTAAGGTTCCTGGGGGACGTGAATTTGCGGGAGGTGGACACTAGCTACTATAGCATTTAATTACGAAAATTAAATATAGAAATTGTTGTAGCCACTACAGGTCTGCTTTTTCTTGCCTCTGGTTTAAAAACACAGAATTTGCTTCTAAAGATGTGGGTAATTTCTGGTTTGAATAAAACTGAGGTTGATAGTCATAAAATTTTCCAGTGTTTTAGGGTTTGACTCTCTAAGAAGAAATGGGCCTAATTAGCGAAAACTAGCCTTGGCATGGCCAGGCAACCATCCATTTGCTCCCCCGTGTAGGTCCCCACTGATCCTGGAGATGATACACCCAGACCCACAGCTGAACAATGAGCACCACCCTCCCCCCCCCAAGCCAGCACGCCTATTAATATGCAGGTGGCCCTGGGAGAGCTAATGCCTGAGCTGGTGATCAAATCTTTATAGATTCTTTTGAAGAAAGCTGGGAGCCTCCCTGATAAGAGGCTACAGGAAGGCAAAAAGATCTTTCTCGTGTATATAAATTTGCTGGCAGGGGATCGTGAGTAAAAGTGCAGCATCTACAAAGCAAAAGGGAGTCGTCAGGTGCGAGTTGCTTGAATCCAGTCCTGTCCTCCTGAGCTTAATGACATGGCAGCTCATGGTAATTTGATTTACAAACACAGCCATATATTCCCTGAAGAGAAAGAGAAATAGGGAAAGTAGGTAGGGGAGGTGGAAGGATTGAGTCAGAGATAGAGGCTGAGACAAGGAATGTCCTCCCAGGGTGTGGGGGATGGAGAATGAGAGAGGAGGAGGAGGTAGATGCAGATCGAGGTGGTGGGGGCCGAGAGCTGGAGGGGAGAGGAAGAAATGAGGGAGGGGGGAGGGAAGGAAGGAAGGAAAGAAGGAGAGGAAGAGAGAGAAACAGAGAATTTAAATAGCGTGTGCCGTCTGCCACCATTCCCCTGATGGCCTCATACCCGGGGAGACCCCTGGCTGGTTTGCCCCCTTGGCTACATTGGGTCCTTGCCTGTCCTAGTGTGCACCTCACGCGTGGCTGAGTGTGACACAAATGTCTCAAGGTTTTTATTTTCATACACCTTGGCCCCAACAACGCAATCCCTCCTCTAGTGCCCGCAAGCAGGGTAAAGAGCTGGGCTCTGTTCAGTGCAGTGAGAGATGAATCTTTCAAGGCCAATTTAACTCTATGCAATTTTCACCGGAGATGCTACTCCGTTCCAGATCGCATGGTCAGGTTGTGTCTGATTTCTGGTTCACAATTAGATATTGTCCAAGCAGAGACAGTTGACATTTGATCAGAACTCTGCCTCTTAGTACTGTTCTTCCCCCAAACAGGAACAAACGAGGAAGTCAGAGAATACGTCGGTGTATAAAGAGTAGAAAATATAGCACCACAGAAATGAAAGTAAATACAGGGTTTTTACCTCCCCTAAAAATAATGGAAGTCACTATTTTGGTGTGTTTTCTTATAGTTTGCTTTCCTCCTGTGTGCGTGTGTGCGTGTGTGTGTGTGCGTGTGTCTGATTTTGTATAAACATGTAATCAGAGTGTCCATGGTATAGTGGGACCTGCCTCATTCACTTAGCAAAATGTTGTGAACATTCCTCACATCCACAAGTGCAGACCTGTATTCTCCAAGGACGGCCCACGAAGGACTTGCATGAACTCACTCTTTGGCAGGTGACTGTGGCCACTCTCTCTAGAGGTTGAGTTTTTTGGCTACGGCCCCACTGCAAGGGTGTGGTTATAGGAGCTGCACACGGCTCGAGTCTCCCTGGGAGGTGACCCAGAAACAGAGGGGGCAGCTGGCTGGGGGCGTCACAGGGAAGATGAAGTCTATGAAGGAGCTTGCAAATGAAGCTCGATTCCCTTCAACCAGAACTACCATTTTTCTCCCCAGGTCAAGAGGATGCCTGTATTGACTCAGAAAGAGGCCCACGGATACTTTCCAAATATGTTTTTCGGCTTTTATTTTTGTTTTTGTTAAAGCCCTGAATTGAGTCAGACGTAAACTCGCCATGCTAAACAGACATTAAGAGAATATTTAGGTGTCCTTTGTGTAAATTCTTTGAAATAATGTCATGGGAAACACACAAGCTTCGTTTAGCTTTGTCTTTAATGTTGGCTCCTGCCTTTCTATTTGTGAATATTGCTTATTTACCCCCAGAAGTTTTGTATGAGCCACTGTGTTTAACCCAACTCTCCAAAAAAATGAGGGGATCATGATATTCTTTAGATTGGTACTTATGTAGTGGAATCTCCCAGGCATTAAGACTTACTTGATTGCATTCAGACATCACTTTGGCAATGGAATGACTGCATTAAATTAGCATCGAGCACAATGGATGGTAATTGCAAGACTGTCATTTCTACAAGTGCAAAATTAATGTGTTCTGCAAACCCATCCCATTGTGTGGCACAGGAAAATCATGGAACCGTGTTATTCCAAGCAGAAAAAAAGCCCTGTAATAGCACTGTTAACGTGGTATGCCATTATTCAGCAATGGTGTTCTTTTCCACCTCTGTTGTTGTCTTGCACTCATTCCTCACACCCTGCCTGACCTCATTTGTATGCTCATATTGTAGCACCGCCAGAGAGTAGCCTGGATGTACAGACAATGTTATGGAACAATTCCTCCTTCTGTGTGGCATCTTGTGTGAATAATGCCAGCATAAACCATCCCCCATGTATTCATGAGAGTATGAATAGGCTACTTATGTAAAGCTTCTTATTAAGAGATATACCGACCGTTTACAGAAAACTTTACCCAAATACTATACATTCATTTAGACAGGGAAGAATGATTTACATGCATTTCAGGGGGAGCTTAGGCAAAGCGCCAGCTGTCCCGGGCTCCGCCCCTCTTGTTTACGCATGGGAATGGAAGCCACAGACCAGGTAAGGGCATTTCTTCCAGTCACAGAAGAATCACGGGGTGTATCTTGAATGACAACATGTATATGCATTGGGCTCCCGTAGTATGCTGGTTGGCCCTGCAGGATTTATTAGGGATTAAAGACTCACTCAAGCCTGAACTACTGCACCAGTAACAGGTGCTCGAAGCTGACTGATCAGAGGTGGTGATCATTCCTGCAGTTCGGCTCAGGCTGAGAAGCACGCATAGAGGCATCATGAGTCCGGGTTCTAATAATGAAAGTGACAATAACTGGCCAGACAGGTTTCCTTGTGAGTCCAGCTCAAATCCAGTCTCTTGGCAGCCAGGGCTGGGGGGTGGGGCGGGCATCCGGACTGCCGGCTGTCCTGACTGATCCACAGCAACAATCCATCAGTCTTCGAGCCCGCCGACAGACCCCCTCTGACCTCCCTGAGTGGGGGGGTCAGGCCTGAGTCCACCTTTCAGAGGCCACCTACTCTGTCACTCACCATTAAGGTGTTATGGGGATATTTGCTTTGGAATGTTCTAGCCCGTGCGTGGTCTGCCGGAATTGGGCTGAGATTCCTCACACACATATCCGGAGCACCTCTCCTTTTAGCGAATGACAGAGATCAGAAAATGAATGGTTCAGAGAATGAATGGACAGAGATCAGAGAATGAATGGGAGACTTCTCACCTAAGGCGGGAGAAGAATTCTGAACACCTTACTCTCGGAATAGAGCACACTGTGGACAGTTGAAAAAACCACGAAATAGATGATTTGGGCTTATCTGTAAAAATGGCCGTGGAAAGTGGCTCTGCCTTACCCTTGTTGCAGAAGGTCCCATCGTAGGCCGTGTTGGAGCAGTCACAGGAGTAGCCGTGGTACTTCTCCAGGCACCTGCCCCCGTTCTCACAGTTGGCCCCATAGCTGGTGCAGTGGCCCGAACATCCAGATTTGAACCCGGAAGTGACCTTGGCTCTTTCCTCCAGGTCCAGCGTCACCCCGTTCATCCTTAGGGAGCGGATGCAGCCCAGGAAACCCTGCTGGCCCCCGGCACCACCTGGGAATGACAGAAGGCACAGGGCTCAGACGGGATTACCTCTGCTGTGGTTCCCGGACCCAGTGGAGGGAGGCAAGGAGGCTGCTAAGTGCGGCCAGCATTCTCACTTTCGAGCCAGCCCTGCCTAACTGCAAAAGCTAGAAGCTTTTCCCCCTCAGGCCACAATGTCTAATGAAAAGAGGCTGTCTTCTGAGAAGCCATAAATTTGCCACAGAAGATGTTTGGAGATACACAAAAATTATATACACCATTTTGGAAATCTAATCTGGTTTCCTGAAGAAGTTTATAGAAATCTCCAGGTTTCTTTTTGTTGTTGTTTTGTTGTTGTTTTAATCTTATGGCATTCACTTCCAGAGCATTATCTATTGAAAGAAATATAAAGAGGCAGGGAAACATGAATATATTAGCATAGCTAATAAGTCAATTAGTTGGAAGGCATAAATCCATTTGAAATGTGACCACACGACCTGGGTCCTGGTTTTTGTCTTAGGAAATACGTGGCTTTGAAGTTCACATGAAGGCTTCCCGGGGCTTCTGGGGTGGTCAGAAGTTGGAATTGATAATTTTACACGGAAGTCAGCCATACCACAATTATTACCAGGTCAGGTTAGATTTCACCGCTTTTGTCTAAATGTCATTGCAAGACATATAGCACAAAGAGCATTTCACTGTGATTTCCTAAGTTACAGCGTTAGACAGAGGCTCATGAGCATGAAAATATTAAAATATTCCTAACAAATTTCATAGAGTCATTGGAGCATTATATCACAAGTGAATTTAATTATGTCTAGAAGAACCTTGGCTACGATTTTTTTAAGCATCTGGTACAAAAGGAGGAGCTCAAGCTTACATACATGTCTGCGTCTTGGAGTAATGACTTTTCTGGCAATTAAATAAAATGATCGGTCATTAAAATTATTAAAAGACATATCTGCTGGGGATTTAGAAAAAAATACTGTTAACAAAGTGACCTTCTCTTGAGGGCGATGTAGTAGGCACTCTACGAAGCACCTTACTTATGTCATTCACCCGATTCACCCAACAGCCTGGCGAGGCGGGCATTATCATCATTACCCCCACTGTACGGATGAGAAGCCTGAAGCTTAGGAAAGTTCAAAGGTTTACTCAAGGAGTCATAGCTCCACAGTGGCAAAGTTGTGTTAGTTCTGTCTTAATTTCGAGCATATGGTATTCCGTTCTGTGTTGACCCCTTAATGCAGAAGAAGGGCTTCAGGGTCAGCGCCCCCATCGATGTACATGTTTCCGAGATATAGGCTGGGATGTATTTAAAACTGGGGTGATCAATTGGATTGTCAGTGCTTGGATGAGACTGGTAGCTGGGGATGGATTCTGATCACTTATTCTGGTATGTTGAGAAGAAGCACACCATCGAGGGCACTCATCAGACAGGGCGGGTGGATCAAAAGCTTTAGGTGCAGAGATGTATTCATTTGCTTTTGTCTGTAAATCCTCAGCCCTGAAATGGCAAGTGACTGGCTCTGTTATCTTTATAAACCCAAGCCTCGCATTCTCTCATCGTGTAGTACATAGGTTTGAATGATGATTCTCCAGGGATTGTTATTTATTATCAAATGAAATAATTGAGTAGAGGATTAGTTGAAGGGAGGCCAATGCTCTGTTTGATCAAAGCTCCGGAATAGTAGATGGCAAAGGAAGTTATTAAAAACAGCCACTTTGAAGGATTTCCCATTTTGCAATCTGCTCGTCAGCCCAGCTTCATACACCCCTGCGCTGAAGAGAATTTGGGCCTTTGCTATGATCTGGAAGAATTTCAATCCGTGTGTTAAAATTTCAATTTGGTGTCTATCATTTTAGTGACCATGGCTTTCGCTTTTGCAGTCAGGGCTTTCCAAAGGGCCTTTTGTTCAATAAACGCCTAGCCGTTTAAATTTTCATTGCTAGTCAATTAAGACAATTATATCCTATCAAAATACACAGGAATTTTTAAATCATTGTTTTTCGATATCTCCTGCCCCTTTTCCTTATTACAAATGTAATAGATTTTCAGTGCGGAAACCATAAACACACTGATAAGCAAGATGAAAAAGAGAATCTGGAATGCTACTCAGCTATAACTACTTTTACTTTCGGCACATAGCCTTTTCTACTTTTAGCTATGAACATACATATGTGTGAAAAAATAAAACAAAGGAAGAAATGAGAGCACGATACACACGTTGGTTTGAAATTTGCTTTTTGCACTTAATATATCATAAAACGTTCTCCAAGCAATAAACGTACAACTGGAACATCTCGTTTGCCATCTGCGAAGCATCTCATCTTGTGAATGCTCTGTAACTTATTTTGCCATTCCTACCATTGGGCTTTTAAGCTCACTCCCATTTTCATTTTACAGGACACTAATAAGTACCCTTGTAAAAACCTTTGCACACTTGTTCAATATGTCCTTAGAATTAATTCTTAGAAGTGCAGTCGCTGGATACAAAGGCAGATACATTTTAAGAGCATTTGGAGCACATTTTCCTCTAAGAATTTGTCAGTCTGTATTTCACAGGTAGGGCATGAGATTCCCACCTTTTCCACGTCTATTGGAATACTTGGCAGAATGCTTTTGAATTTATAGGCTAAAAAAAAAAAAAAAAAAAAAAAAAAAAAAAAAAAAAAAAAAAAAAGAAGAGCTTATTGTTTTAATTTGCATTGCTTCAAACACTGTGAGTTGAATACATTTTTATGTTCTCACCACTCTTAGTTTTTGGTTCTTCATGTCTTTTCCTATTTGGGGGAAATAGGAGAGGGTATGTTTCTTATTGCTCAATAACAGTATTTTTGGCTTTAACTCTGTTATAAATTTGGCGACTATATTCTTCCAGACTGTGTCTTTAACTTATATATGATGTTTCTTTTTCTCTATGAATGTTTATGTTGTTTATATAGTCCCCTCCATCTTTCTTATTTGCACAATTTGTGCCTTTGGTATTAAGCTTTTTTTTTTTTTTTTTTAATTTTTTTTTTCAACGTTTTTATTTATTTATGGGACAGACAGAGACAGAGCATGAACGGGGGAGGGGCAGAGAGAGAGGGAGACACAGAATCGGAAACAGGCTCCAGGCTCCGAGCCATCAGCCCAGAGCCTGACGCGGGGCTCGAACTCACGGACCGTGAGATCGTGACCTGGCTGAAGTCGGACGCTTAACCGACTGCGCCACCCAGGCGCCCCGGTATTAAGCTTTTATAAAGCCTAATCTAAAAATAATATAATAAACCCAATCCAAAATAATATAATTATTCAACCATATTTTCTTCTAGCACTTTTATGATTTTACTTCTCTTAGCACTGTGATCTTCAATCTATCCACAACGTATTGTAATTTAGAAATAACTTCTATTTAATGGGTCTTACTAATAGGTGCAAGTTTGAAGAAGAGTGTTTTCAATGTTAAGACGAAAAAAAAACTTTTGGAGATTTGAAAAGGTCCAGTTGGCAGAACAAATAAATCTAGGTTAGATTATATTTTTATTATATGACTAAGGTAAACGGATTTATGTGTATGTACTTAATTATTTCTGTATACAGTCCTCAAGGGGTTTTTCTGTCTCTCTGCCTCTTTGTCTTTGATTCCTTCTGGTCGTGGCCATTCTGAGGCTCTACATCTATCAGTCATTCTGCCTCTGTGTCTGTATATCTCTCCCTATCAGGGCTGTTGACCATTCTGGGTTAGGTGCGTGGGTCTCATCAAGTCACTTAATCTCTCTCAGCATCAGGTTTTCCTGTCCATAAAAAGGGGGTTTGAACTAGATTCTGTCCCTGGTTCCTTCCAGCTCTGAATTAGTCCAGCTTGTGATGTACAACCTCCCTCTGTGTTTATGTGTCTCCGTCTCTTTATTTCAGTAAATTACTCTCAGTTTCTCCTAACTTTACTTCTTTGAACCATTGCCTGACCTTCCCCCCACTTCTGTTAATTGACCATAAAATATGACTGTGTTCTAATTTTTATTTGTTGCATTCATTACATAAGGTTTTGTACTCCCTCTTCTTAATTTATAAAGCAGGTAAATGGAATACTCCATTTCTCTCTGTATAAAAGAAAACTAAATAAATTATGCACTTTTCTTACTTAGATGACCCCTGATTTATTAAATGGGTCAGTGAACTGGAAAGTACTTTTACTGATCTAGTCGATATGATGGAAAAAATGTTTTGTTCCAAAAATGGTCATTATGTGTTATGCAAAAGACGTTAATACACTAGAACTGGTGATAATTACTTCAGTTCAACTTATGTGCTCTATAGAAATATTTTTTGGTGACAAATGTCAGAAGTTTAAATTGTAGGTCTGCAAGCAAAAATGCTACTTAACCTTTGTTAATTAAAAAATCAACACACTGTCATTGGAGAGTGCTCCCTGCCTTGCGAGGGCTTTATGCACATTAGTCAGACCTGTGATAATTATCCAAGGTGAGATGTGGGTTTAATTTGTAAATCATTTTTCATGTGAAATGCTATTCCAGTATTGCAATTAAAGATTAATTATGAAAAGACTTTATCTACCCATAATGAATAATACAACCGCCAAAAGCACAAAGGATTGGGGCAAAAAGAATCAGGTAGTAAATGAAGCAAAACAGGTGAAAATAACGATCAAGAGGAATTCTAAAAATACAATGTTGTCAAACTCAGAGCTTAGTCTTTTTCTAAGGAGCTAAGTAGGATTCCAGAGTATCCTTGCCTAGAGAGACTGGACATTCATTCACCCCAGAAAGGAATCACACCAAGGCTTACACATGGGAAATCTAATGTATCCATCAATAATTATTTATTTCATATCTACTATGAGCCAGTCCTTGTCTAGATGTTTGGAAGGTCTTTAGAAAGTCCTCACCCTTGGAAAGCTTATCAACTTGCAGAGGGGAAGGGAAAAATTGAGCAATAAACTCAATAAGCATGTCAAGTACCTTGTGTGTTAGAAGGTAACATCCACTATGAGAAAAAGAAGTCAGGTAGGGTTAAGTGCGATCAG